GAGCTCCATCTTGCATCCTTTGCCCGTCGCACAGGCCCACTCCTTTTGCATGACGCACTTGTCTTGGACGAAGAGCACGAGCTGGTAGATCTACCGCCACGATCGCTCCTCGACGATGAAATGAATACTGCTACATACCTGGAGTCCAATCACGACAATCGAGACTGCTTGGAGGAAGCAGAGCATCTTGAGAATGCGTGACGACTTGGCCGGGAGCTTGGACGCGGCGTCGATGCCTTCCTTCGTGTCCAAGTCCATGGGCAGCGTACTCGTCGTGTCGTCTTGGCTCTCACTCTTGACGACAGGCGGCTTGGTGAGGTCGAGGAGCGCTTGGCGGGCGGCGACGCGGCGACGAGCGACTTCGAGCGTCGCCTCCTGGGCCTTTCGAATCTCCTTCAAGCGCCGGTGGATCTGAATGCCAAAGACGAGCCCCATGGACGCAATGATCCAGAGCAGAAACGGCGCCATCGAGAACTGGATGAGCGTGTGCACCGAGTGGTAGACATCGTTGCTGATGCAGTAGACGGAGATAGGCACGATGCCGACGAAGATGACCCACGTGAACATAAAGCCAAGGATCCGGAACGCTTGGATCGGGTACTCGAAGTGGGCGAGGTTCTTGGGCGTGACGACGACGCGTGCCCAGAGCGACACGGCGAGGATCCTACGATACCAGTGTGAGATCTGAGAGCACGATATGGAAAGTCATCGTACAAGACGCTGTAGATGCACGCGGTGCACGTGTCCGAGATCATGGTCACGACCACATACGAGAGGATGCCCATGTAGCCCCACGGGTCGATCGCACGCGCGACGAACGTGAGCGACGCCAGCACGAGCAGCCAGTACGTGACCTTTTGGATTCCCGAGCCCGCGGTGCGCTGGTTCGTCGCGGACGTCGATGAGGACGACGACGAGGACGCCATCGCACCGCGAGGTCGCCGCAGCACCTGGTACTTGCCGCCGACGCGGCTGATCGCGCGGAGCTTGGCGAGGCAGAAGGCGAGCATGGTGACGCCGTAGACCAGGCACGCGAGGCGGAAGAGGTCGTAGTTGTCTTGGCTCAAAGACGCATACGTCGCGTTGCACGGCCCACCAGGCGTCTCCATGATGTAGCCGAACTCGCAGAACTGCTCCATGCTGTCGGACGAGGCCATCGTCGCACTGGGCCTCACCTCGTGGTTGATGCTGCAGTCTGAGACACCCGAGTGTGGCGAAGGACTCACACCTGATTGGCCAAAAAGGTGTCTCTACAGTCCGGCTCGTCGATTGGATAACAGATATTGAGCATGGGTTTGCGTGGGGTATCAAATTGCACGAGTCTTCTCCAGCGCCGTCGAGGGCTAGCAAGCGGAGTGACCATCGAGTTCGGCGCTGGAGCAGCCGCGTCCGGTCGACGTCCTCGAGGTTCGGCATCTGCTACACTACCAACACACCTACACGTCACTTGCCATCGATTGGGAAGCCGTCTCGATGGCCCGGAATATAGCGATCGAGCACGTGTTTTTCGGATTTACAGCTTGTGGCTCCAAACGACCGCTGGCTACCTGACTTCGCGAGTCCTTAATGGTCCGCAGCAGCTAAAAGCAACGTGTTTGCTGGGGCAAGATGGCTACTAGTACAATGCACGACCAAGCAGATCGACGCGGTGGCGCTGCCTTGAGATGCGATTTGGGAGGGTATCAAAGGAGAGAGGTACGATTGGCCGCTGGCTTCCCGGGTTGCGAGGCAACCATCGCAGGCGAGATTCATCCATGGGACCGCGGCTCATAGAAGCTGGGTGCGACACTGCGACAAGCAAGACGCATTATGTAGCTGCCTGCGCATGTACTGCCATAATGTGTGCTAGAAGCCGCGATTACCCTCGGCTTTTAGCCCTCTGGCCAAAGTTGCGGCGTGTGACGGGCGCGAGTCGCCGTCGGTTTCATCCCGCTCGACGATGCGCGATCTATCAGATCTGGTAGATTGGGATCCTTTGACCAACAAGGTTTGTACGCGGCGAATCGCTCTGGATGTACCTTGCACAAGTCGTCGTGGCAAACGGGCAACAATGTTGAGCAGTGTAAAGTGCAAAGTGGTCGAATGAAAATGCAACGTCCGTTACTCGCACACGTGTGTGCAGTAAACATCGTGCACTGGATCTCTTGTCCACAAGCTGCAGGACACTCTCCACTGTAATACTACACCGATAATAGCTCTCTCCAATAGACAACTTGTTATGGGAATATACCTTGAGCAGATTGGGTGTCCATCCTGCCCTAACAAGAGTACTACAGCATTCGTGGTGTCGGATAGCAGTACGAGGCAAGGGTAAATAAGACCTCTGGCACGAGCAACCGTAGGAGCTTCGGACGGTGTGTGGCTTTACAATACAGTATGAACATTACACTATTACTGAAGTACTCATGTTGGCACTATACCTAATCGGTTGGCGTCTATGCGACCGTGAGCTGGGAGACCCAGCCCGTTGTTTGCTTGGCGTACGCCGCTTTGTAGCTCGCTAGCACGGGTGGTGGGGCCTTGTACTCGATGGCAGCGTCCAAAAAGGCGCCAAATCCGATCGTCGATTGCGGCTGGGACGTGAAGAGCCGCTTGACCTAATCGCACCATCATACACACATCAAGTACGATCGGCTCCTCACCTTTCCGGGGCGAGTGAGCGCTTCGAGGGCGTCCCATTCGTGCAACACTGCGCAGTGCACCAGCGCGGCGTACAAAATGCGGTTGGCGTCAATGTTGAAGGCCGCTTGGAGGCTCCGAACGCGATGTGCGTCCCAGACATACCCGTTCTGGTCGTCGGTCTAGGTGAAAGTATGTACATCGCATCTATCTAGAACATGTACCGTCGACGAGTCGTCTGGGTACAGCATGGTGTAGCGAAGGAATTGAGCCAATGTCATCGTCAGCACACAAGGGCGCGGGAAGCGCAGCCAGATCGGGTCGAATGAAGTTCGCTGAATGTTGGCCTCGAACGCGGTGAGCCACTCGGCCTGATTCATCTTGGTCCACGCATCAAAGAGGATTATTGGCACGCCGCGGATGAGCACCTCGACGCAGTACGGTCGTTGGAGCTGCTTGGCGCGCGTGCTCGAGTCGTGCACGGCCGGTCGGACGCTCACCGATTGGTCCAAAACGAGCTCGCCGCGCGGCTTCTTGTCCAAGAAGGGGTTGGTCGACTTTTCCATCTTGTCGTAGTCGTGCTTGAAGTAACAGAACCGGTGGCCATCCAGCACGAGAAAGCGCTTGTGCCAATTGAGGCCCGCCGCCCCTTTCGACGATCGCTTGTCGCAGTAGCCCGCCTTGGCCATCGCCGCCGGCGCCGTCCGCTGGTCCCGCGCCTCGGTTTGATGCAAAAGCTGCTGGAACGAAATGTGTTGCCGCAGCTGGGCTTCGAGCCAGGACGTGCTCACTGTGTTGGAAAAGAGGGCCTTGGCCTCGTCGACCCAAGCACGCGCGCGCTGTGCATCGGGCTCTGCGAGGACCAAGCGCGTGACTTCGGCGGCCAGCTCGCTGGTGCGCCCGACGCTTTTGAAGAGCGCAATGAGCGGGTAATCACGCAGCGATACAAAGACGGTGCTCTACACAAGCCGCATGCGAGTGCGCAACGAGCATCGAGGGATGATGATGACCTGGTGGCTACGCTGCTGCTGGCGAAGGTGGTTGGCCCAGTGGTCGAGCGCAAAGAGGTGCTTGGGCAGACACAGCTCGGCGTGGAAGAGCGCCTCCGACATGGTGTGCGACAGGAAGAGGAGGACGTCCATGACAACGGGCGAGCTCCGCGTGACGCAAGCATGCGTGAGGAGCGTCTGTTTGTACTTGAGCGCCGCGAACTCGGGCGCGGCAACGAGCGACCGGTAGTTGAACTTGGGCCCGAGGCCCATGTGGCTCAGCAAGAGCTGCTGCACGGCGGCATTGGCACTCGCGATCGCCATCCGCGCGCCTCGAGCAAGGTTTCAATCTGGTCGGGATTGGGTTCGGCACGCGCCGCAAATAAATGGGCCGGCAAAAATTCTGCGCCAGCAGAGAAAAACATCGACGCGCGCACACATGTCGGTCGATGCGTCGACGTACAACAATAGGATGTGTCACAAGCAGCATGGACCACGACTGCGGCGCTCATGTGTGCATGCGGCTGTGACGGTGGAGTGATCCATGCCACGACGCAGTGCCGAATCCGCTCTGGTATTTTCGGCACGTAGCGCCATGATTACGATGGTATTGGGCCAATCACGATCGGCCATTTGGGATTTGGGGTCGAGATGGACTGGGTCTCGGCGGTGCTGGCCGCGCTCGTCTCGGCGGCCGTCGCCTTGAGCTACCTGTCGTGGAAGAGCCATGCCTTCGTGCAGACCATCGTCGCGCACCGTGCGCACAGCAGCAAGGCGACAGCCTCGCGGCCTGACGTGCTCCTCGTGATTGCCCATCCGGACGACGAAAGCATGTTCTTCGTGCCGATCCTGCTTAGCCTGCGCCCGCACGTCCACTGGCACCTGCTCTGTCTCTCCTCTGGTGCGCTCATCCTACGCGATGCTTGTGTCTCATGCAGCGTGCAGGCAACTACGATGGTCTCGGCGCGACCCGCACCAAGGAACTCGCCGCTTGCTGGCAAGAGCTTGGCATGGACAGGGCCGCGCTCACCGTTCTCGAAGATGCTCGGTTCCAGGTACACGATCCACGCTGACGACACGGGAGCTGCACCAGCCACGACTGGCGCTAGGATGGCATGCAGTCGATCTGGACGCCGGCGGACGTGGCCACGGCGACGCTCGAGTATGTGGCCAAACACAACATCGATACGGTCCGACATTGTCTTCCTGCCTTGTGACGAATTGAGCGTCCGATTAGATGGTGACCTTTGACGACTATGGCGTGTCGGGCCATCCGAACCACATTTCCGTGCACCACGGTGTCAAGCACGCGCTGGCAACGTCGCCGCTGCCACTGCATGCGTATGCTCTCGACAGCGTCCGCATCTGGCACAAGTACCTCGGGCCTCTGGACGCGATCTGGACATCGCCGTCGAGCACCGCGGTCGTCGCGGTCGCGCCGTGGGTCAACTATGCGGCGATGGCCGAGCACGCGAGCCAATTCGTGTGGTTCCGTCGGCTCTTTGTGGTCTTTTCGCGCTATACGTTTCTCAACACGTTCACGCCGCTGCACGCGCCGACCAAGAAGACGCTGTAAGGTGGCGGCGTTGGCGCACGATCCACTGGAATATACAGAATCTTTTGCGACGTGATCCCAGAGTGCCCATGGCCTCATACGCAAACAACATGGGCGTCGTTGGTATACTTACAGTGCTTCCTGACATGGGCTTTGTTGGCCTTGTGAGGAGCTTGGGGCAGGACGCGAACTCCAGCTGCGCGAACTCGGGATGGGTACAAGTTGCGTGTTTCTAGCTCCGGACCAGCTTGTTCTGACGTGGGGGTTCTTGCCGCAACGCCATTTTTCCGGATCATGGCCGACAACGAGTCCCTTGTGTACAGCGGGTCGGTGTACGCGTTCGCCTTTGACGCGACGACGCAGGCGCACAAGCCGCTGAGCGAGTCGCCGCTGGGCGTCGCGCTCCTGGCGTCGCCGGCGATGGCCTACCGCCTCCTCTGCTACAACGCGGCGCGCGACGAGGTGCTCTCGGCGCCGCTTGAGGACGTCCACACCAAGTTTACCGTGCAGCAAGACCATTACGTTAGCTTTTACGATCGCAGCACGAACTACTCGATGCGCTTCAAGGACGACGCCGCCGTGCACGGCTTCTTGACGGCCATCGCGGCCATCAAGGCGCACCTCTCGTTCCATGACCCGTCGCTGCCGTTTGAAGACATGGTCGTTGGCGACGGCTACGGCGTGCAGATGGGCGACATTGTGGGCATCGCGATCGATGCGTGGCAGACCACGAGCGCCGATGCAAGCCCCGCCGACCTGCTCGCGTCGACGCCAATTGTGCATGCGCCGGCGACCGAGCTCCAGAAACTGCGCCTCGGCGACGCAAGCACCGAGAGCATCCCCGGCCTCTCGAAAGCGCTCTTAGGGATGCAAAAGGGCGGTCGCCGATTCATTTACCTGCCCATGTCGACGTCGCCCAAGACGCTCGTCCTCGCGCACGTCGAGCTGCTCAAAATCAAAAAGACAAGAAGGGCCAGGTTACGCCGCCATCCGAGCCGACCACCGCGCCTGTCGCAGAGCCCACGGACGAGCGACACGGCGATCTTGTGAACCGCATGGCGCTGCTCTCGCGCATGGGCAGCAGCCAAGGCGCGGTGCTCCTGCCGCAGCTGAGCACGTCGATCGCGCCGATTTCGCGACGCAGCTCGTTGGATGCGCCGACACCGACGTCCGAACCGTCGTCGCGTGTCCAGACGCCGCTGGTATTGGCCATGGCGCCGCCCGAGGCAGCGCCGACACCGGTGCCCGTGCGCACTCCAGCACCGACACCGACATCGACATCGACATCGACATCGACATCGACATCGACATCGACGCCGAGCCCGCAACTCGACGCACTCATGCGCGAGAAGGAAACCTTGCTCAAGGAGCAAGCAGCCTTGGCCAAAATGCGCCAAGAGTGGGAAGACGCCGCGCGACAGCCGCCACCGACACCGGCACCGGTGCCCGTCCGCACGGCGCCGGTGACACCGCCCCGGCAACCGACGTCGGACCCGGTCGTGCGTGCGTCGACCATGTACGCGCCGTTGTCCATGCACGCGCCGCCGTCGTCCGCGTTCTTCGAGCCGACGCCGTTCCTGACGTCGTTTACGCCGGCGCCAGCTCCCGTGTACACGCCGACAACCGCCACATACGCTTCGACGCCGCCCTTTACGCCCCCGTACGCAGCGGCGCCGGCGGCGGCCAACAGCGCCGAGCTCGATGCAAGCATCCAGCGCGTGGCGCGAACGACGCTGTCGATGGAAGGCATGCTTCTCGACTTGCAGTCCAAGATGGACCGTCTCTTGTCGCAGTCGCACCGAAGCTCGCCATCAACGGCATCGAGCTACCACCGGCGGGACACGTCGTCGTCGTCATCGTACGGCAACACGTCGCTGCTCAAGAGCATGGAGAAGGTCTTGAGCCAGAACGAAGAGTACCAACATGAGGTTAGCGCGCTCTCGCAGCAGCTGCAAGACGTGACGTACCGCTCCAACCAGCTCCAGGACGACCTCGATCGCGCGCATAGTGACAACCAGCGCATGCAGCAGCAGTCGTCGTCCCAATCCCGCATTGCGTCCGAGCTCCAGAACCTGCAAGCTGCGCTCGACCACGCCAAGCAGCGCAGCGCGCAAGTCGAAGCCGACCTCTCACGGGCGCTTGCCCGCGCTGACGACGAGCGCAATCGCCGTCTCGCGGCCGACGACCAGGTGCAGCAGCTCACGCGCGCGATGCAGACACAATCGCAAGCGTCGGCCGTCGACGAGCGCCAGCTGGAAGAGGCGCGGAGCGTCGCGATGGCGTCGCAAAAGAAGTGGGCCGACGAGAAGCAAGCGCTGCTTGCGCGACTGGCCGCGATCGAAGAGGCCAAAGCGAGTCGTGAAGCGCAGCTGCAGCAGGCGGCCGCCGCTGCCACGGAAGAGGCCGAGCGCACGCGCCAGCAAATGCAAAGCGAGCGCGACAGCCACAGTCGGGACGCGGCCGAGGCCATGCAGCATCTCAACGAACTCGTGGCCGCCGGCGACGCCAGCCGCAAAAAACATGCAGCACTGGAGGCCCAATTGCGTGCGGCCGAAGACCGCGCAGACGAAGCGCGGGCGAAAGCTGCGGCGGCGACCACCGACGTTTTCAAGGAGCTCATGAACGATATCTACTTTGCCTGCCAAGACGCATTCGAAGAAGACGGCGAGTTTACCGGCAAGGAAGTCGCGATCACGATTCGAAAGATCCTCAAGCAGCAAACTGCCACGGTGCTCGCCAAGCTCGAGACACCGCAATAAGCCCGACAAGATATTCGCTTATGCAGTACGTGTGTTGCGATATCTGTGGTGGTCAGACGACGACCAAGGTACTGTCTAAGCGACCGTTTCGTTGGAGAACGTGCGCGGAAGCGTGCCCAGAAACCAACGGTGAAGGGTGATGCTAAGCTAATTAGAGATACTAGCGAGCAAGGAAATATTCCCTTGTGAACGAGTAACCAGGAGGAATCCCACCGAGTACTCTCTCGTATAGGGGAAGTAGCAAATGTGACGGGACCATGTGTACAGAGGTGCTACCTAGCTTCCATACCGCAACGAGTCCATTCTTTGTCTACAGAAAGGCTGCACAATCACTTCTTAGCGGTACGTGGTCTGGCGAGCTTGCATCGTGTGCATCATCGCGAGCATTTGGTCCATCTTGGCTTGCATGACGGCCATGTCGTTCTTCAAATCGGTGAGGCTCTCGGCCGCGGACGGGCCGTCGAGGCTAAAGTCTGGTTCGTCGCTGGCCATCTCGGAGCTCTCTTCTTGCAAGAGCATGGCGGCTTCCGAGTCGTCGTGGGCAGACACGACGCGAAGGCCTTGCGTCATTTCGCTTCGGAGCACGCACTCGGCGAAGCTCACGAGCGCCTCGAGCTTGGCCATGTCGAGGCCGCCGTCGACCGTCTTGGCCATCATGGCAATGAGCACGTTGAGCAGCATGACGATCACAATCGTCGCATGGGACAAGAGCAAGACATACCCGACAACGTACTGCGTCGTGTCCTCGAGCGTCTCGAACGGCTCCAAGTCGATTTCGCCCAGCATGACGAGATACGTGGTCACAGAGCTCTTGACGACCGAGTCGTACATGTGCGCCTCGGCCGAGCCCTGGAAGAGTGCATAGTACGCACATGCATACGCACACTGGAACGGAAGGTAGAGCGCGAGAAAGTTGAAGACATCGCCGAGCATGTTGCGCATCATCGGAATGAGGTACCCGGCGGTGGCATGGACCTCGAGGTACTGGAGGCCGAGGACCCAGAGCAGCAGCGTGAGGATCGTCCCAACCACGAGTCGGAAATGGTCCGAGTCGGGCGTAAAGCACTCGTGCAGCACGTACACGAGCAGGAGCATGAAGGTAGGTAGTTGGACCTTGTTGAAATGCGAGTCAAAGTACTTGGCCTCGTTCGCGCCGAGAAGCATGCTCACAAACTGCATGACGATCGCGATCGGGCAGTAGATGCAGTAGTAGAGCGCGCGATCGATCGCGGGATGCGAGAGGAGCCACGGCGTGTCGAGGCCGGACCGGCGGTTGTGCGACGCGACCTCGGCAAACATCTCGTGGAGTTCAAAGCGCAAGAAGTAGACGCCCATCGCGCCGAGCACCAAGTTGTTGGCCCACACAAAGTAGAGCCATGGGATCGAGCGCTGGAGGAGGCCCATGAAGAGGTTGAGAAAGGCGAGGGCGCCGCCGAGGACGGCGGCAGTCATGACGGCCCAGAGGTACCGCTTCGTGTACCGGAAGAGGTGCAGCATGACGAGGGTCACGCCGATCGCCGTCGCAATGTTGAGCCAAATGAGCAGCTGCAGCGCGTACTTGGGCGAGACGACGTTGCGGTCCATGATGACGGACAGCGTCATCGTCATGAGCAAGAGCAGGTACAGCAGGAGCTGCTCCATGTAGTTGGCGAGGCCAAAGTTCTAGCATGTGCACATACATAAGATCTGGAATAGGAAAGAAGGATGGAGGTAGTACCTTCCACTTCATCAAGACGACCTTGCGCATGCTCGGGTGCTCAAGCAGCTTCTTCGCATCGCTCGTCTCGCCGCGACGGACGTTGGGATGCAAGATGTGGAAGAGCGGCGTCTGGTTCACGTCAGCGTCCGAGCCAATGCCATTGTAGACGCGCGCCAGCTAGCGAGTGCGATGAGCGGCGATGCATATCCATCCGATCGCGTCTACCTCGTCGGCCTTGCCATGGCACTTGTTTAGCTCCTTGACCGCGATCTCGAGGTCGTTCTCGGTAATGGCGCGCTGGAAGGCGCCGACGGAGAAGTGCTCGACGTCGCCCTCCTCGAGCGACGGCGTCGCCTTGGGCTCGACCTTGATCGGGCTAGGCTGCATCCGTGGGCAAATCGCAGACTGTGTCAAAGATTGCATTGCGTTTTTTGTTTTTGTTGCCTGTCAACGAGTTAAACTAGGTTCAAGGTGGCATCGGGCGTTTTATTATACAGGTCGGTCGCCTTCTGTCGCTACACGGAGCGTATACTTGAACGTGCATCCCAGAGTCGTTTGTACTCGATGCAGTAGTGGCTTTGCCGAGGCTCGCGATGCGAACTCGAGAAAGCTGGTCATCGTCTTGCAATCTGTGGTCGCAGCTGCCCAGTGGTTGCTGTTGGATTGTTAGAATCGAAAAAGATTGATACCACGGTAGTACCAGGTAAATGGCATCGGTTGACGAGGTGCAAGCAACCGCGCTGAGCTGGATGAGAACCGGCACCTTGGGCACCGCGCAGTAGAGATCTATCGGATGTTACGGCGGCGTTGTGTGACTTTAGCGCATCTGGGACCTAGGATGTTTAAACGCGTTAAATATCTTGCGCCACGAGGGTGTTCTCGAGGATACTTTCGAAGGGCAAAAGATCGCAACAGGTTGCAAGTACCCCAGTCGCTAACTGGAGCTACCTGGACATGTGCAGTAGCTACCTGCAGCGCTGACCCGCAGAAGCTTGGCAGTAGCTGCAACCCAGGCTGCTGCCCAGCAACCGCAGCTTGCCACCTCCACCGCACGCGCTGGCCGCCACCAGCCGTGCAACGGGTTGCCCCAGCTGCTTGCGTGAACTTCTATTCGGACGCAAAGCCAATGCAACCAGCTTCTAGGGTCACCCGACAATACTGACGTCAAGCACATGTCACTCTATGGCATTAGCGTTGCTCAAGCTACAGGTGGCTCATGGCCTTGAGGAGCTGCAGCATCTCTCGCATGTCACGGCGCATCTCGGCGAGTTCGTCCTTGAGGCTGGCGACTTCTGCCGCAAGCTCCTCGACGAGTTCGTCGCTCGATTTGTCGTCGGGCTTAAAGCCGAGGCCGTCGTCTTCTGGCTCGTCGCTCAGGTCTTTCGACGACGCAGCCTCGAGGTACATGGGCGCGTCGTCCACAACGACGAGCGGCTCGAGCTCCGTGAGCTTGCGCTTGGGCAGCGCATTCTCAGGCAGTGGCATGAGGCCTGTCGTCTTCTCACTGCGCAAGATGCACTCGGCGAAGCTCACGAGGGCCTCCCGCTTGGCCTTCTCCATGCCGCCGTCGACACTCTTGGTCATCATGGCGACGAGCACGTTGAGGAGCATGACGATCACGAGCGTCGCATGCGTCAGCAGCAGCGTGTAGCCGAGCACATACTGCGTCGGGTCGGCGAGCTCATCGAAGGGCCCGGTCTCGATCTGGCCGAGCATGACGAGGAAGGTGGTCACAAAGCTCTTGGGGATCGTGTCGTAGCCATCCGCGTTCTCTTGGTCTTGGAAGAGGAGGTAGTACGCAAACGCATACGCGCACTGGAACGGAATGTAGAAGGCCATGAAGCGGTAGACGTCGTGCAGCATGCGCTTCATCATCGGGATCAAGTAGCCGGCCGTGCCGTGCACTTCGAGGTACTGGACACTCAGCGCCCACGTGAGAAAGGTGAGGCCAATGCCGACGCAGAGACGCGCGTCGGCCTTGAAGGGCATGATGAGCTCGGCGGCGGCATAGACCACGAGCACGATGAACGTCGGCAGCTGGACCTTGTTAAAGTCGGACTGGTAATAGTTGGCCTCGACGTGTCCGAGCAGCATGAGGAGGAACTGCGCGACGACCATGAAGGGTGCAGACACGATGTAGTACAAGGTCTTCTTGAGCCGCGGCGAGAGCGACTCGATGCCGCAGTCGAACTCGCGGTGGTTCTCGCTGAGCTCACCAAACATCTCGTTGAGCTCAAAGCGCAGAAAGTAGACGCCGACGATCGCCAAGAGCACATTGTTGATGTACACAAACGCTGGCCAGACCACATGCGCGTGCAGAAACGGGCTCAGCGCCGTGCGAACCACGAGCCACTCGAGCAAAACGATGGCCAATACGCACGTCCACCACAAGGCGCGGTGCGAGTACTTGAAGAAGTAGGTCGCGATGAGAGCGGTGACGAGGCCCAGCCCAATGTAGAGCCACACCGAGAGCTGCGCGGGAAATGCATCGTCGTCGCTCACGTCCATCGAGACGGAGAGCGTCAGCGTCATGAGCAACAAAAGGTACATGAGCGCTTGCTCCATGTACATGCGCATGCCAAAAATCTAGTCGAGAGGCGAGAGAATGGAATATATGATCGAAGCATGCATACCTTCCACTTGAGCATGATAACCTTGCGCATGACCGTGTGTTCGAGCAGCTGCTTGGCTTCGTCTCGGTTCTTGTACTGCGGGCTCTGCAGGAGGAGGAAAAGCGGCGTCTCGTTCAAGCCCGTCTCGCCCAAGACGCCGTAGACTTGGCGAAGCTACTCGAAAAACAATATATATCGCACGACGGTCGCCATGGATTGTGCACCTCGTGCTCGTTGTCGATGCACTTGTCGAGCTCGGCCGTCGCGACGGCGAGCCGGAGCTTCTTGCCCGTGATCGCCTTCTCGAAGACCGTCGCGTTGAACGCATCCTTGTTGATTGGCGTCGCCAACGGTGTCGCCATCCTGGCTGCAAAAGGCGAAATGACCCAAAGCCGCCTGTCGGGCGCAGCTGCGTGTTATAACCATCATGACCCGTTATGATATGTGTTACACGTGGTTCTTGCACGGCGACGAGTATCTACTATCACCTGGTCATTGACAGCCGTCCGTTTGGCGTCGACGTGGCCGTCCGTTTTAACCCTCGTACGTCGACTGACCTCGTTTAGACGCGTTGAATTGGATTGCTTCTCTGATAGTCCGCAAACGAAGTACCGCTGTGTTTCGAAGTCGTGGAGGCGAGCGGGCGCATGTCCAACGCCTCATGTCGAAATCGGGCCGTCGGGTTGGGACCTGTATGGAGTGGCTCCAAGGGATAAAAACAATTATTGTGTTCCCTTGGGCTGCTCAAACGAGACTCTTGATCGATTTGGAAGATTTCGAAGATTGGAAAGGCGTATCCAGCATCAAAACATCACTATTAGTCCATTATTTCCTCAAAACTTGACGGTGTCGCACGAGGCGCGATGTTGAAGTGGTGCACAATGTCCTGCAGCATGGCCTCGAGACGTTCGTTGCGCGCCTCGGAATCACGCAGGCGCTGACGAAGCGCGGCGACGTCGTCCGTGAGCGTCGCAAAATTGGCCTCCGCTTTCTCGGCATCGTCCACCTCCTCGGCTTCTACGTCCAACAGGTCCCGTGCGGGGTGAGCTGGTAGGAACTTTTGAATGCGAAGCGTTGTTAACCGGCATCTGCGACGACGGCGCGTTGGCCTAGACAAAAGTCAACGCGCGACCTTCGCTGCGCTGCGGTGCGCAGACTTTTCCGGGCCAACGCGCCGTCGTCGCTTGCTGCAGTCCTCGCGCGCTTTCACATTCGCACCTAATCGGAAAGTTGCGTTAATTTCAGTCAAGTGCGCCGTCGTACTTAATCGAAATTGTTATACTTTAATCAAGTATAACGTCCGGCGGTGTGACAGCACTTAACAGGAATTTCCGATTCGCACTTAAAAGGACACATTTGGCGCGATATGATTGGCTTATATCATTAAAACGCAGTTTCATTGGTCAAAATGGCCGTATATATAGCCAATGGGTTGGCCGGATTGAGACACGACACGCCGAATTAATCCCCTGGGATGCTGGTACACCACGTAAACGTTCCTACCAGGATAAACATGGCCATGGCCGTCAGCATGGGCGTCGCTTCATTGGGCGTCGCTTCATTGGGCGCCGCTTCATTGGGCGCCGCTTCATTGGGCGCCGCGCGCGGATCTGTCGTGGGCATCGGGCGGAGGCCGTACACCTTTTCGTTGCGGAGAATGCACTCGGCGAAGCTCACGCGGACCTCGAGCTTGGCGTCTTCCATGACCTTGTCCATCGACTTGTTTAGCATCGCAATGAGCACGTTTAGGAGCATCACGATCACAAGCGTCGCATGCGTCAGCAGCAGCGCGTAGCCGAGCACATACGGGCCCGGCGCCGGGAGCTTCTCGAACGGATCGAGCTCGATTTGGCCAAGCATGACGAGGTAGGTGGTCACGAAGCTGTGGGCGATCGTCGCGTAGGCGTCGACGTTGCGGCCTTCGAAGAGGATGTAGTACGCAAGTGCAAACGCGCACTGGAACGGGAGGTAGAAAGCCATGAAGCGGTAGACGTCCTTGAGCATAAAGGTCATGACCGAGATGAGGTACCCGGCCGTGTTGTGGATCTCGAGGTACTGAATCCCAAGGGCCCAAGCCGCGAACGTGATGGTGATGCCAAAGTACAGGCGGACGTCGTCGCTGGACGGGTAAAAGGTCTCGGTGATGACGAAGACGAGGATCGCAACGAACGTCGGGAGCTGCACCTTGTTGAAGAACGAGTTGAAGTAGTGCGACTCGTTGCGGCCACAAAAGCTGAGGAAAAAGTCGTGGGTTGCCGCGCAAGCGATGCCCACGTTGCTCAGTTCGTCCTGGTTGGTCCTGGAGATCTCGCCGTAGAGCTCACTGATCTCAAAGTAGACGAAGAAGAGCGTCGTGGGCGCCAGCACGAGATTGTTGCAGCGCACGAACCAGATCCAGTTGACGTGCGCAGCGATCAGATCGGTGCAGAAATTGAGCACAAGAAGCACGAGGCCGATGACGACGGTGGACTTGACGGCCCAGAGATGGCGGTTGGCGTAGGTAAAAAAGTAGGTCGCAAAAAGTCCGAGCACGAGGGCAACACCGAAATGGAGCCAAACGAGCAGCTGCGTGTGGAAGATGGGCGACTCGCCGTCGCTCAGGTCCATCGTCACGGACAGCGTCAGCGTCGTCAGCAGCAAGAGGTAGAGCATGAGCTGCTGCAAGTTCATGCAGCACGCAAAGGCCTACACAGGGATGAGATGCGATTACGAGACGGAAGAGCACTCCTACCTGCCACTTGATTGCTAGGATGCGTTCCATCACCTCGTGGTTGAGGAGCTCCTTGGATTTGTCTTGGGGCAGGATCGAGAAGAGGACCGTGCTCTTTACATCGTTGCCGGTGCCGTATACCTCGCGCAGCTATTCAATAGCGTCAATGCCTGGGATGTATTGCGCAGAGAAGAGAGTCAGCGTACCGAAGCGTCGTGAAACCCGCGGTTCGGATTATTGTCGTCGAAGATGACGCACTTGTTGAGTTCCTTGGTCGCCTTGCGCACGAAGCCTCTGCTAGCGTAGTGCTTCAGGTCGTCAATGTTGAGCGTTGGTGCGGCAATGGCTTGCTGCATCGTCGTTGCAAAAGGAAAATGAGCCAAGCGAGACGTCGCAATTGTGTGCCAGGCTTTCGAAAATGATCGCAGATGGGTGGACGAGACGTTGGCTTATGGCCTTTCAACTTTATGGCAGACACGAAGATCAAGTTGAGCTAGTACCTCATGCACATCTACGCGTGTTTGTACTTACTCCTGCTTGACTTAATCAAGCTTGATGATTGTCACGATCCATCGGGCACATCGCTTCAAGCATGTATATGCCGCCCGTTTCAAGTTACCAAAAGTATCAAGCCCATCGCAGAGTACTGTATCAAGTGACCACAAGTATCAACTCGGCCACTCGATCGCTTAGCAAGGTATCACGTGACCACTTAGCGGACATGGAGCTGTACACGAGGGCTTGTAGCGATATGTTGTACTCGTACCAGGTCGTCGCTGTTCTACAGGATTGCAGAAGCCTGGCAGTGGTGGCAAGGACCGTGACTTGAATCGCTGTGGACTGGACGGTTAGTGGAGGATGATTGTCAAGGAACATGGTCGGCTTCTCACACGATTCTAAACCGTTCGACACTTTCAAGTGTGGCCCATTAACAGTAACATCAATTTGGGGTTCTTTTGTGCTTCTGGTTCTGGTTGTGGTGATGCACTTAGGCCCGCCAATGCACTACTGAGGCAAGATGCGGGTCCGATCCAGATCCCGCTCATGAATCACTTGTCACGAGCATGGCTATCAGGGGGAGCTTTACGTGGATGCACATCTCATTTGAATCGGTCTCTGCACATGAGGGTGGAGCTGTGGATTGTGGATGGCATGTTTTCCCGAAAAAACGCCCTAGAAAGCACGTGAAGTGATCGATTTCCCGTACCGGCCGTTGCCTTTACTATCTACCGGTATCTGTCAACTACGCAGCTAAAAGGCACAGCCCTAGAGTAGTATATCATACTAGTAAACCGGATCCAAAATAGTGTGTATTCATGTTCCAGAAAGAATATTGTTTCTATCAAAAATTCACGACGACTTGTCCTTTTTCCACGCGTGCACGAGTGCCACCAATTGCTCGAGCGTGGCTTGCGACGCGGCCTGCATCACGCGCGCGTCTGCGAGCTCCGAGCGCAGTGCCGCGACGTGGTCGTGCAGCGACGGGCCTTCCCCGATCGCAATCGCAACGTACGCCTCGCTGTCGACGCGAGAGAGCAAGAGGCGACGCTCGTCCTCGACCGACATGGCCTCGAGCCGGGCGAGCCCCGCGGCTTTTTCACTCCGGAGCACGCACTCGGCCAGACTCACGAGGGCCTCCTGCTGCGCCAGCGGGTGGTTGATCACCGAGACCATCGTCGCCATGAGCATGTTGCCGAGCAGAAGCAGCACGATCGTGGCATGCGTCAGCAGCAGCGCGTAGCCCAGCGTCGAGCCAAG